ATATCAATAGAAATATTAATTCCTAAAAACTGCTCACTAACCACACTACCCCAGGTGAAACATATCATAATACTGCATTGTCGGAGAGCATGTTAGATAGCAGAAGAATCAAGTCCTTTCCCAGTCCTCCGCAGGTGTGCTGCTCACCTGTCGTTGAGGGTCTCGGCCTTCAGGGTGTAAACGCGGTTGATGTGTGAGAGGTGGAATATGGGCTCCTCGCTGGAGGGATCTGAGGGCAGTTTGACCAGGACCTCGTTCAGGAAGATCGGCTGAGGATGGGGGCAGGACAGAGGGATACAGACACGGAGGAGAAAAAGGTCACAGAGTGCACAGACAGGGTTCACTGCAAGGGAATGCCTGCACTGCTGAAACGTACTGGATCTTGTGTGATCTTCATGAAAAAGTGTGAGATTGATTCTGTGTGTGAGATACTTCTGACATCTCAGAAAGATTTGGAGAGAGTGACTGTATTTATGTACAGCATAAATAAGCATATTCAATACCATGCAGCTTTACCAGTTTTAATTCCCCACTGCATGGATTATGAAAAAATTATATTTTTTGTGTCAAGTGGTGTACCATAATGCAATTGTTTTATTTTGTCCAGTTTATTATAGATCCATTTGTACACTGTCATATACACTGAGTAAAAAGTAAAGAACTTTACAGATGTGTGTAAATAACACACACATAAAGGATAAATGGACACCTCTCAATCAAAACAGCATTTAAATGAGAGTGATCAATAAACACAAACAACACTGGCCACCCACTGCCATATCTGATGCATCTTTCAGTGTTTTTGTCAAGCCTGAAATCTGAGTAGGAAATTTGGCTCAAGCTGATTTCAGACAAGCTACCAGGAAAGCTGTGTGACTCACTGAGCACCATACTGCACCAAATGTGTGAGGCTCCCAAGGATGACAAAATAAGTTTTTCAAATTTTCCAAAAATAATATTACCCATACAGAAACAGGAACTCTGTGCACAGGAGGGTTGGGATGTTGAGGACGTGTTTCAGCTGCGAGAGGCTCACCGTTCTGTACATCCTGAACTGCGTGTTGCACTTGGGGCTGAAGAGCTTGTCGCTCCCTGAGGAGCTGAACTGCTTGATGGAGTGCGTCAGCAGCAGGAAGTCGTTGAACAGGAAGGCCTGCATCTCCTTGCTGCCTTTGCTTTTGTACAGCTTCCCACGATGCAGCAGCTTGCGAGGGCCCAGGCAGTTGGTGAGGGAGTTGAAGACCAGATTCTAGACAGGCAGATTACAGGCATGATGTATGTTTTAGTGGTTTAAATATTAGGCTTTTACTTAGTGTAGGAAATCTTTAGCATTATCTTTCTCACATTGATTTGTTCATGTCTTTGACTAAGTTTGACTGAATCTTTGGAAAATGCATCTTCAGCATCAACATCCAATGCATTTTACATTACGAAAAGCTAAGAATGATCCCATTTCACTGTGAAATGTTGCCACAGTAATAATGAATCCAGAACTGACTGGGATGGAACCAAAGGAGGCCGTCTTGAGATATGCCAACAGAAATGTAAAACCCAAACAACAACCTGCCCTTAACCTGAAGTTTTCAAAAAATGAAATTATACATCATAATTCATAATACAACAAAGTTTCAATCCAACAGGCTGTAACACACATTACCTGCACAACGCACATTTGGTTTTGTCTTGTGACCTACATGCGAACCCATGGAGCAGTATGAGGCCTGCTTTTTCAGCCTGTCTGTGCTGTAGGCCCGGCTCATCCCCCTGCCCCGCCCTGCCACGCCCCGGCCCTGCCCCGCCCCGCTTACCTCGGTCACGCCCTCACACTGCACATGGCCCTGCAGCCACTCCAGCCTGTCCACGTTCTCCTTCTCCCTGACCGCCTCGTTCACCCGAGAGCACAGCTCCTCCGCCCTCTCCAGCGCCTCCTGCAGCTGGCCGTGGTCCGCGTGGCTCTCAGGGGTGCTCTCCATTATCTGGGGAACCAGAGAGGTGCGAAGCACGCTGAAACAAATTCACTAGAACCACTAAGAGACCACCATGGCCCCAACAAAGACTAAAGGTGATGTCCATTGAAAAATTTAATTAAATACACTGATTCATACATTACATTATTGTCAATTAGCAGGTGCTCTCATCCAGGGCGACTTACATTAGTTACAGTTTTAATCATTTATACAGCTGGATGTTTACTGAGGCAGCTGTGGGTTAAGTATCTTGCCCAAGCAGTGCCCCAGCAGGTAACTAAACCAGCAACCTTCTGGTTACAAACCCTGCCCCTTACCACTACACCACACCACTGCCTACATACCTTAAATAGAGCTGTGGCAGTCATATTCCTACTGTCGCAAGTCATAACATAACACTACAGAACTGACAAACATCCTCAAAATGCGTGTGTGTGTGTTTTATTTGCGTGTTTAAATTCATATATATTTCACCTGGAAACCTCCATGGGGCCTATGCAGATCTGTGCAGATGACATCCTAATGTCATCTGGACAGGCTCAGAGCAAGTGCCAAACACAACATGGACCATCCAGGTAATTTAAAGATCAGTGCATCTGCATGAGAAGCTGACTCACGTTCTTGATGATGAGAGGGTATCGGGTGATCCTCTGCATGGGCTTGATCAGGAAGCTGGACAGAGGCATGCCTTTGCAGCGGTAGTCTGTGGCGATTTTCTGCGGGAGACAGCGGAGAGTCAGGACACTCCCATCACAGAGGGGGACACCAGGGGACCGCGGCAGCGTGCCTGACAGCAGGGGGTCGGGTCCTCGGCACGCTGGGCTCCCTCACCTTCAGGAAGTCCTTGAACTCGGGGTCCTGGTCGGTCTTGCGCTGCAGCATGGCGGCTCCCTTCAGCTGGCTGCTGCAGAAGCGGATGTAGGCCTGCATGCAGGACAGCTCAGAGGCCAGCACGTCCCCGACCATGTGCACCGGCCTGTCCCCGCTCGCCCGCTTCCTCTCCTGCAGAGCCCTGAGATGCACGCACACACACACGCACGCACGCATACACATACACACACACGCACGCACGCACACACATATACACACACACACACACAGACACGCATGCACACATGCATGCACACACATACACACGCACGCACACACACACACACGCACACACACACACACACATGCACACACGCACGCACGCACGCACGCACACATACACACATACACACATGCACACACACACACATATACACACACACACATACACACGTGCACACACACACGCATGCATGCACACGCACGTACACACACACGCACACGCACGCACACACACACACACATATGCACACGCACACATACACACACACATGCGCACATACACACGCACACATACACACACACACACACACACACACACAGGCATGCACAGAGAACCTCATGAGTCTCACAGCTCTTCCTGTATTGCAGAACTGATTAGATTCTTTATGCACAATTGTAAATGAGTGTTTTTTGCCTCTCTTTAGTACTATTTTACTCTCATGTCAGCCACCTTCTACCATTTACAACTGTGGATATGATGTATGTTCCTTACTGGTTCAGCTAAGGAGTTCCACCCATTATTCATGTGGTTTCATGTAAGGAATTTCCATTGTCAAGCTTTCATTTCAACATATTTTAAAGATTTTAGTGACATCTTGAGTTCATACAGTATCTTTGTAAACACTGTCTTCTAAGTTTACTTGGCTGAGTAAACTTAGAAAAGCTACACTGCTAACACTTTGCTAAGGCAGTAAGTATTTCAGTCATTGAGAGATGTCTCTCTGTCTCTGTAATAACTGCATCAGTGGTCTTGCGCAGAGCGGGTGGGAGCACGCACTTGAGTAGCTTGCTGCTGGTGGTGATGAGCTCCTGCCAGTTGAGGAAGATCAATCCCAGCTCCTCCTCCGTCAGACGGCCCGACTCAGACAGGAACTTGTGAAAGACCTGGACACAAACACACATAACCACTTCTGTGCACAACAGCAGGACATACTGTACTCAGAATAAATATAAACACACTGTACAGGCTAATTCAGACATTAAAAAACATCTAGCACAAAGGCAGAGACACACACACACACACACACACACACACACACACACACACACACACACACACACACACACACACACACACACACACTGGCATCTGACACTGACGCCACAGGTTTCTATTTATAGAGCTGCTAATGTACTCTGAGCTGCAGAACACAGGTCAGCTATTTCCATAACATCAGCTGACTATGCGAGAATCATTTATAACGTATCACATCACGTGTCATTATCAGTAAAAGCCTGCTAAATATGTGAGGTGTTGAATATGTGGCAGCATAACAGACCTCAGTGGTCCTCAGAGGCTAAAGCATGACCCCTCTTTCCAGTACAGCTGCCCTAAACCCTCCTACACATTGTACTGTAACAGAGCCCATGACAGACAGACTGGTGGTAGAAGGATTCCTCTCGGGTCATGAGGCAGATTAGTGAACATGGCTGAACACGCAGCTCAGCTCGACTGCTCAGGTGCTCAGCACAGCAGGTAAGGCAGGTAAGGCAGGCAGGGAGCCGCACCTGCAGGGCCAGCTCCAGGTCCTCCAGGTGGCGCTCCTCTGACTCGATCAGCTCCACGATGTAGCCCTGCCTCTTCTTCTCCTGCAGACTCAGGGCGTCCATGTCAGCAGACGCTGTGGGGGGAGACAGCTGTCAGTCAGGCGACACACAGCCACATGCCGATAAAGCTACAATGCCCCTGTGAGACCCATCTGGGACATCACATTACTGTCATTTTAGCAGATGCTCTTACCCAGAGCCACTTAGATAGACTACAATTGTACATGTTATCCAGCTGTATAAATGGATATTTACTGAGGCAATTCTGGGTTAAGTACCTTGCCAAAGGGTACAGTAGCAGTGCCCCAGCAGAGAATCAAACTGGCAACCTTCTGGTTATGAGCCCTGCTCCCACCACTATGCCATACTGCTGCCCACAAATAGTAAGAGACATGCACTGACTGGGAATCAAACCCAGGTCAACGCTTGGAAGGCAGCTATGCTTGCCACTATACCATTGATGGGACAAAAGATGTCTAAATCTCTGCACTGCTGGGTCTCCCTGACCAGCCAGAGAGTGGCCGTGTCCCCTGCCCTGACTGCACTCTCACACACTCAGAGGACTGGCTCATCAAACCTGCACATTTAGGGAGACAGCACCCACATAAGGCCTGAAGTGAGGCCTTACCCAGTGAATGCACCCCAAATTCCTCTGTTTGAGGTATTCCCCAAGCTTTTAAATCACTGCCTGCCACCATTCTGCAAACTCATGTTTCACCAAAAGTTCAGTGGGAGTTCACACACACACCCTGTCCATGCACATGACCGCTGTTACAACAATGCCTGAATTACATCACTGAGATGACTACATTCAGCAAAATGTTTACCTGGTTCCTTTCAGACGGTGGCAAATGACATTTTCATGGTGCGACAGACCAACAACAAAAAGCAACAGACTTTCAAAAGAAGACTTTATTTTTGAAATGTCTATATTCACTTGTGTATACTAATGTATCCAAATGAGGTACATCTTCAAAATGCTCAGATGAGTTCAAATATACCTGGAGCTAAAATAAACGCAAAATAAAATTCACATCAGATCATTCATATGTCATAACAGAATCCCTTCAAGTACTGAAGAAAATGATTAATAAAATGTCTCCCATGATGGTGGCCACTGGCATATGATGAGAAACACTTCTAACAATAGTCTAAAATATAAAAATAGAGCACCTTTCACTTCAGACCTTCACTTTAGCTCTTTAGTAATTTAAGAAAGTAGACTGCTGTACTATATGTTCTTCTGAACATATCATTGCTATTCAAAGTGTGCTGGTGAGAGCTTTAACATTTTCAAAGCTTTGTATGTGGTTTTTGATAGAAGACTAGATAAGTCATATTTTCAGTCACATGTACAGTAACTAGTTATATAATTTTACAGATACAAATGTAACAGAAACAACAGATGACTTGCAAGTAACGCAGTTTGAACCACTAATGCCAGAATCAGAACACAGCTAGCCAATTCAGCTGCTATTTTGTGAATGAAATTAATTCAGCTCACTGACATTTCATTGAGGTAACTACTGCCATAGGCACCAAAGTGTTACAATGTTTGAAAATCTAAGTGACCAACACTATCTGAATTAAGGACAACTCAATGTAAAGACTGAGATGTGTATGATTAAATGAAAGTATACTTTTGTAAAGTAAAAAGATTTATTATGATTTATCCGTTTTCAAATCACTATTTATCCAAGTTTATTTACTATTTATGAGTGACACAATCCTGAATATTAACGTTGTTTAAACATCATAACTGAAAATGGGGATTTATTCAGTTATTTAATCATTGAATAAGAGAGAGTATGATTGTAATGCTAAAGCTAAGACAAGGAAGCTGCATGCTCATAGTGTTCAGACTAAACCATATGCTTATTGTAATACTAAAGCATTCATATCTATCTGTTCTGCAATCAGTTAAATTTTGTCAAGCCTGCACACAGCACTAATGCTTTTCAATCATACAATATGTACAATCATCATAAAATCATCTGAATTTTTCAAGTAGACAGTATGTAAATTGGGAATATATTTTCAGATGCGCTTCAAGTAGATGTTCCTTACTGCCACACCAAAAACACTGCAGTTTGTGTGGCTGGAGTCAGACAACAGAGACATGAATGAACTTCAGAGGGTAAAGAATCAGAGGGAAGACAGTGGACAGCATGGAGACAGGAGAACTAGAGAGATTGCTTCCTTCCAGTGAAGGAAACACTAAAAGGAATTTTATTAAATGTGAAAATAATTAGGTAAATTAAGGCAATAAAGCATATGAAACTTAAAATCTGAAGAGCAGCCAAATTTCAGAAACTTAAATTTCTTACTGTATGCCTTTCAGACCAAAATCCTGGCAAAATGCTGACACCGATCATTGCTCACCATCACTGCCCACTGAGTTTCATGCATGAAAATTGCTGGTATCGGTCAGTGACATTGTAGGATTAGGGGCATTAGCTATCATCTACACAATACCAGGAAACTTATGGAAAAACTGGGATTTCGCAAGATGTAATCTGGAACATTCATTGGAGTTGCTTGGCTCCTCCTGATATCAAAGCAGGTCAGAAAGCCTGCCCAGACAGTCTCTCAGCAGTATGGAGGAGGAGATGAGGAAGAGGAGGAGTTGGAGGAGGAGGAAGAGGAGGCAACACTATCGCCCTACAGAGAAAGACATGAAGGGAGAGAGGAAGGGAAAAAGAGAGAGGAATGAATGGAAAAGTGTTTGAGACAGATGGACTGATGGAGAGAAATCACTTTAAAAAGAGCTGTACATGGAAAAAACCCAGAGATAACCTTCTGCTGTTCTCAGAGACATCTTAGACAAACCCACACATATCACACACAAGGATAAAACCAGTGTGTGTGTTTATGTGTATGATTTCTTTCAATAAGCTACATTATGCATTAGACAAAGAACTCTTCTAAGACTGTAACTCGTAATATTATCCTCACTGTGCTCAGAACCAACAATTGAGGCCTTTTTTAGTGAATCTCTGGAGTGAACCTGGCCTCTTCCAGTTACAGTAAGGGGTGGGCTATGGACTAAATTTCATCACCAACTCTCCCCTTATTTAAAAAATAAGGAAACAAACACTGAATTCTAGGACTGCTCTCTTAGGTAGACACAGTGATTACCATTTCAGAACAACACGCTGGTCAGTACATTATTATAGGACCCATTAAAGATGGCTTTTACCATTGAGCTTCTGCACAAAAAGACTAAAATAAACAGATAAAAGTGATTATTTGCTTCATATTTCTGGTTATAGAGATCATACTTACATTGCTGACTGGACTCTGTCTCGGCGGTGGCCATTTTTACGTAATTGGTGGGAAACAGGCCTGTGACTCCATTGATTTCTCCTTTCCACCAATGAGGGTCATTCTGTTCAAGCACGTTGATGAGCTGCCCGCTGGCGAAGTTCAGCTCGTCCTGGCTGGAGGCAGCGTAGTCGTACAGGGCGATGACCTGGCAAAGCCGGGCTGCAGGACAGAGACGCATGAGTACGGCACACTGGGAGAGAGTACCCGAGAAGCCCCCGTTAGGCGCTCTTACCTGGTGCAGGTGTAGGTGTGGGCTTCTCACTGCTGGAGCCCAGGAGTTTGACGTGGGAGACGGGGAACCAACCCCTCTGACGCTTTTTACCTCTCGCCTGAGTGGAGGAAACAGTCACATGATCAAACCCACAATTACGAATGAATCGAAATGTCAAACACCTGTGGATAAACACACCTTCTTACAATATTAAGTCCAAGGGCAAAATGTACTGTACACCAAATATTACATACTGTATACCAATCACAAAGCTGCTGGGAGTCCTCTCTCACAACCGAGAGCTAAAAGTAAAGCTCATTCTGATCAGCCACAGATGAAAATGCAATGTGTATAGATGTATATTACAATACAATCTGTATCATGTCAGATCATATGAGGGAACAAACAGTGAAGTGACACCTGATTTACTGCTGTAAGATGTTGCTGTGAGACACTACTGTGAGATACTGCTGTGAGACGCTACTGCAAGACGCTGCAGTAAGACGCTGCAGTAAGATGCTCTGGCTCTCACCTGCAGTTCTCCATTCCACCAGCCAGTGGGGGTCTTGCTGAGGACGAGGATGAGCTGCCCAGGGGCCAGGGTCAGCTGGTCTTCCCCCGTCGCCGTGTACTCCATCGTTACCTGGGCGATCTCTACAAAGCAGGTAGCGATCACACAAGCGTGAGGTGAGGGATACAGGGCTGCCTCGGGTACAGGTGTGAAAGGCCTTTACCAAGGCTGACGGCGAGAAATGCCTTTCACATTTTAGCCAAATGATTAATGAGATTAATTAAATTTTCAAAGAAATTATACATTTTTAACAGCAAAATTCATCTGTGCAGCCATACAGGACATCAAAATGAAAATAAGTGGGTTCCTGTGATTTAACACGGGCATTTAAAGAGAAGGGAAAGCTGATCCTAAAAAACCACATTCAGTGGGAATGGGACACAAAGTGTGGGCATTTTAACCACGGTCTGGATGACTTCTGAGCAGTACAGTCAGTCTGAGTTCTGCTGTGTTTTACACTCCTGTTTGTTATTTGAGTCAGATGGGAGGTTATTGAAGTGGCTGGTTATAGGATGGCTGTGCTGTTAGCAGTGTAATGTATGGTGTAGGTGCGGGTGCTGACCTGGCTTCTTGTTGGGAGCCGCAGGTCTGCTTGTGTTGTCAGGGACCTGCAAACACATTGATAATTGAGGCTGAGTTACAGTGTTACCAAAGGAAAAGACATTTTGCATAATACTCTCACAGAAAGTCCTGCTCTTTTACAGAGGATTATAGGGATACCAATACAGAAATCGACACATCAGACTAAGATGGATCATTCTGTCACAGGCTGCTCACTAAACAGAAACAAACAAACCCCCATTCTGACCATGTTTATCATTAAAAGGACACTGTTGGGTTTACCTCTGTCTCCTTGGGCTTGACGTAGTTGGAGGGGAAGACCCCAGACCTGTCCCCGATGGAGCCCTTCCACCAGTCCCCCCCTTTCTCCGTCACCAGGATGGTGTCCCCCTCGCTGAAGGTCAGGTCACCCGGCTCTGGGCTGTCGTAGGTGTACAGCGCCACGAACTCTGATTGGACAGAGCAGCTTACAGGACAGGCTCGTGCAAGACAATAATCAGGGTCTGTATGAAGACCAGTGCTGTTATCTTGCCTGTTCTGTGGCAACAGTCAATGTTTACATGAGAAGTAACTGATAAATAATTACTACAGTTTTCAGTTCCCATTTAAGAGAAAACAGTAGCTGGGTAGTTGGGGACAAAGGGCTTGTTCCTGTAGGGGGTGGGGGTGTGGAGGTGGGGAGGGGGTGCCACACAGAGACCTCCTACATACCTTCTGGCTGACAGCTCTGTAATATCCCATATCCATCTGCAGAGGAAAGCTGCTGACTGTTAACAAGACAACAGAAAATAGCA